CAATAAAATGACTTTAAAAGCCATCTTTCAGAATGTGGAAACACCCTCATCCTCCTCCAGTGATTTGTATTTTCCTTTAACAAGCTATCAACATGTATTTACTCAAGCCTGCTCTGTACCAACTCCCAGCAAGGAGCATCTAAAGAATCAGAAGTTAAAAGTAAGGTGCTCAGCTTTTAGGAAATTAAAGTTTTGTTAAGAGAACAGTAAAAATTATATACTATTTTACATATACTATGTAATATATGTGTATAAATATAAGAAACATTAGATAACAAAGAAATTCAAAATAGCAAGCAAGGTGTTAACTCTAGGCTAAAAAGTATTCTACACTTAATCTTAGCCAAAGGCCGAGAAGCTAGGCTGAAAGTATTCTGAGACCAGAGATGAACCAGATATTTATATGCTTTTTATGAGCCCCCACACACGGGTGGGACAAGGCCTCTTCCCTGGCATTTACCTGGCAAGTTCATATTTTAATCTTCTGTATATTTTACCCAACCCTATTAGATTAAAAATTCCTGGAAAGCAGGAAATCTCTTCTTGGTTTCTCCTAGTCCTTGACCATAATCAGAACATGCTCAATGAACTAACTCAAATAAAGTTGTCCAACAGAGCTAAACAAAATAATCTCAGTTGTGGCAGTCTAAGAAGAGTTATCAAAAATGTGGGCTGGGATTTTGAAATAACTTTGAAGAAAAGGGGGATCTGAAAATTGGAAAGAAGGTAAATCCAAGCTTTCTGTTATGAGAGAGAAAAAAAGAAAAGAAAAACAAAGGCTGGAACTTGGCCACCTCAATCCACCAGCGGCATTGTGAGCACAGACACCTAGCTAGTGTGTGCCAAAATGTTTTCCCTTGAACCAATACATGAAATATCTCTCTCTTAGCCCAAAGTCCTATGTTTATTTGGGAAAAGATTTCGCATGACTTTTTACCTTACATCATCATGGATCATTCTTCTAAAAGGCTCATGATGAGAGCAAGAGCCTGCTAAGTTGGCAGAATATGGTGAAAATCCCAGACATTCAATAAACACACTTCTGGCCAGGGATTAGCTACACACAGCAGTGTGTCTCCCCATCTTAAGCAGATTGTTAGGATTTGCCACACATGCTTTCTTTCTTCAACTGCAGTTCCACTATCTGTAAAAGTCTTCCTTTGGGTACTATTTCAGGGAGTACAGAATTGCTTTGCATAAAGCAGCTTCTTGGTCGAAACAGGGATGAGATCCAGTAGTTGTTTCATGGAGACATCCCTGCCCAAGGTAACTGTGACATTTGTCAAAGGAGCTTTGGCTTTCCCTGCAAGTATTTCCATTATTTAATAAATCTTACCTCGATTACTTTAGAATAGCAGAAGCACCCATCACTCAATGATGTGCTGGTATCATCAAGATGAGGAAGGTATGAACACACTACACTAAGTGCCACCCTCCTCATGATCCTGCTATGTGCAGTGATTTCATAGTTGAGATAGAACTGCTTAAAGATATATGTTTGAAAACTGCTTAAAGATAAATGTTTGAAAACATTTTGTTGTTTCTCAGGCAACAGATGGTGATATGACTGAAAGCTAATGCTTGACCCATTTGCTAGACAAAAGTAAACCCTTGTTCCTAACCTTACGAAACTCAATAACTTCTCTTTAGAATCCTTAAATTCCACACCACAATTAACCTCTCTGGCATCTGTGAGAAAGACTGAGCCAAGAGATTGATTCCAAATGTATCAGATGATAGAAACCCCTGTAGAGTGGGACTAATTCAGTATTTTATCAAAGAATTTAATCTCTGCAAAGGAATGCACTTGTTCATCCCAACCAAACAATAATTAGAAAAGCATCTGTTAAGAGAAGAGAATTCTACTTAAAATATAGTTGTGTATATTTGACCCTAAGAAAATAATTAGAGATGCAGTCAGAGATTTCTATTCAGAATGTTCATCTCACCATTATGTATAATAGTAAATTTAAAAAACAAATATTTAACAAAATGGTATAAGTTTTTAAAATTAAGGTTCAGCCATATGATATTATTCTATGTTCAGTCACTAAAATACTTTTTAACAATATTAACTTGCACAATAAAATGCTCATGATTTTAACTGGGAAAAATGCTTACTAAACAGTGTTTACTATGATACTCAATTTTAGAGAAATAAATTATATAAATATTGCACATACAGTGTCCATGCCCTCCTGCCAAAGCCTCCCAGGACCACATCAACAGCGGCAGGGAGGGAGAACACACATTCTGGAGAACAAAGGGGCATCTCAACCAGAGGGTGTTGGAAAGGACTTAGCATGATATTTGGGCTTGTGTTATGTGTATTGGGGGGATAGTTTAAGTCAGTGGGCTTTGCTTTGCATCAGATAGTGTGAGGAAGCAGAGATAATCTTATGATTGGATGTCTTCATAAATCTTTATCTGCAGAGAGAGAAGACTAGAACAAGGATAAAGCCATTACTTGTTTTTAAAAGACCACACTAGTCACTCATAGCAGGCAGGATAAGGACTTGCTTGGCCATTTTTTGTGGTGGGGACAAGACTGGTGTTTTGTCTGCAATGAGGCATGATTATGGAGTGGTCCTAATTTTGTCTTTACCTACCACAGTGGCATAATGCCCTCATCGGACATTAGTGCTTTGAAAAATGGCTGTGAGTGCCAGCTCAGCTCCCAGTAACACGGAGGCCCAGCTGATGATACCAGGGCAACTCCTGGATGTGTGGGACTGCTTTTCTTTTCACACATGCAGAAATAGCAAAGACTGGAATTATAACAAGTATCATTTTATTAGATGTTTGTGATATTCCAGGCACTGTTTTAGGTGCTTTTTATCTTTGATTTAACTCTCACAGCTACTCTATGGGATAAGTACCATTATCATTCCCATTTTCCAGAAGAAGAAATTGTGGCAAAAAAGGTAAAGTTATTCACCCAACATATAGTTAGTAGTGGAGCAAGGATTCAACTCAGCCACTACCAAACTAACAGTCTTAACCTCAGAATTATATTGTCTATGTTTACCATAAATTTTCAACACAGGTTATCTTTGAAATGTAGTGGGGGTTCAGGGATACAGGTATTTTGGTTCATTTTTATATTTTGAAAATTATCTAAAATATATATTCATTTTTAATCAGAAAAAGTCATGATTTCTGAATGTACTCACAGAAGCTCTGTTCCCAAGGCCATTGTCCCAAATGCGAACCCAAGTTTTTGCTAGTAGCAATGCTCCTGTGAATGTCTAAATCAAGAGTAGAAAAATCTGTTCATTCTCATTCTCTCTCACTCACTCCAATTCGATTTAGCCAACACTAACTGGATTACCCACAATAAAACGTGTGTGAAAATCCACTCTCAGGCGGTTCTATCCCTGAGTTTACACAAGCAGGTGCAAGTTCTCCAAACTAAAAGCAAATATTTGATCTTAAAGGAAAGGCCCTTCAATGTGGGAAGCCAACACTCCCACCTGGGTTAGCTGAGCATTGCTGGGTTTCTCTAGCTCTAAGATTCGGCCCAGGCACTAAAGAGCGGGTACTCCTGATCTTCATCCTGCATAAGAGCTGTCACTAAGTGGCGGGAAATTTTAGGGATGAGAGCAAACCAAGGCTGGGAAGCAACCGTTTGGAGGGACAAAGATTGCAGGACGAAAAGAGCTACGCTAAAATGCAAAGGTTCCCAAGGAGACCTGTAGGCTGGTTTCCCTTCTCTTACTTTTGCCCCTGTTCTGGCATTAGGGCACGGGAAACATCCCTGTTCCTGCCCTTGGCAGAGACAGAGTTGTGACCTCAAGAGAGGGGACCACCCACTACCTGCCGCTGGCTCAGTGTCGAGGAGCGGGACCGCAAAATTCCACACTGCCACCCCCCAACCCCACCCCCAGCCATGCCTTTCCGCCTTTTCGTCTGCCCGGGCTGGGAGCCACTCAGGGCATCCACCCCGCCATTTAGCACCTCGGCTGCGCAATGGTGGGTGGTTTCCCAAAGCGCGTGCCCTCGCAGCCACTCGAGCTCGCCTCGCCGCTTGCAGGGGCACAAGTCAATGAGGCTTTTCCCTCCGCGATCATCGTGAATCAGCAAAGCGCTGCAGAGCAGCCGCGTCTCCGTGAACACAAATTAGGATGCTGGGGGAAGGGCCAAAAGTGTGCAGGGGAATCTCTAGTCCCTTTCAATGAATCCCTCCTTGGGAATGGCAATACTGGGGGAATGGGGGTTGGCTGGAAGCTGCAGGATTTAGGAGTCCTGGGGAGCCTCTGGGAACTGAGAGTTGGGTGGGGAATGGCGCGGGTGAGCAAAGTGGCCAAGAGATGGGTGGAAGGACCAGGGAGCGCAGCTGGGCAAGTGCGCCCTTGGAGTGGGCAGCGCAGCAGTAGCAGGTGTTGCTGAGGGAATGTAGGGAAGAGGGTCGAGTATGGAGGAAGGGAGGAGAGGATCAAAAAGGAATTCCCAGTTCGCGACTTCCTGTTCTCAACGTGCAAGTTCCCAAGTTCAGTTTGAGAAGTAGACGGTCGCTTGGCATTGGGGATGGGCTCCTTAGGGTAATGCTTCCCAGAGTTGCATTCTCCCATCTCTCTCTCTCTCTCTCTCTCTCTCACACACACACACACACACACACACACCTTCCTCTCTCCCGTTTCCCCTCTTTCCCTCTTTCTCCTCCTCCTCCTGTCCCTATTCCGTCTTCCTAGGGCTTTGATTAATATGCATGTCCATGCTCAGTAGTGCGGGCCACACTCCGGGGACCGCGCCTCCGGCAGCCGCTGCCTCCCGCTGGACCCTTGGCACCGCGAGGCAGAGCAGGAGAGATCAGAGGCTTAGGATGGGGAAGCCAAGCGCCTGGAGCCTAAGGACCCCTCATCCCCTCCTGGTCCCCCTCGCCCCTCCCCCCGGCCGGACAGAGCGCCTCAATGACCCAGACTCTGAGATCCGGCTCGATCTGCGTTGCAATGGACTGACCCAGAGGCTTAGAGCGCGCAACCAAACGCACTAAATTGTACCTGTGCGTGGCCGTTCCCGCCGCCGCCGCAGGTCTATCCCGGGCCCAAAGCCGGCGCCCGCCTTCTCGGGGAATTCTCCGGAGGGGGAGTGCGAGGGGAACCAGAGTGGCTGCCTGCTAGCTCACGGCTGGCGCGTACAAGCACACGCCCAACTTTGCCCAGCCGTCGGCGCCCCCCGGGCTCCCCCGCGCCCCCTGCGGCTCGGCACGCTCGGAAACCTGTATCTCTCGGGTTTGAGATAAGGTTCTCCCCACTTTCACAGTCTCGCATATGTAGGAGAGGGCGGAGAGAAGGGGGTTAACGCTACTGACTCCCTGACTAGCCTTTCTCAAACACTCTACGCCCGCAGGGGCACCCGCGTCAGCCCCGCCGCACCAGGTCCCCCAGACCTGCCAGTGACGACAGAGAGAGGAGGAGGAGGAGGAGGAGGAGGAGGAGGAGGCGGAGGCGGCGGCGGCGGCTGCTGGGCGGAGAGTCGGGAGCCCGGGAGCCCTGGCGACGGCTGGTTCCACCAAGTGTCTGTCATTATCAGCACTTTTATTACTGGGGGACTTGTGAAAAGGTTGGGGGACGCAGGGCAACACTGCCCAGCCCCAATCCACTCTGGAAGGACCTTGCATTCGGGTGCGAGAGAACAATTCTCCACGGGCACATTTCGGGCAGACGTGCTCCCGGCGCACCCCAATCCCACGGTCCCGCTGAAGCTGCAGTGTTGGGGCTATCTTAAATGGCTCTTACTTGGGAGGAGGCGTGATTTCCACGTTCGAGCGTCTTCGCTCCCCACCCCCTCTCGGCACCAGCCAGTGCGCGCCACCACCTGAGCCTGGCGAGAGCGGGGCGCACGCAGTCTTCAGCCTGCTCCCTTCCGCCTCTGGGTAGACTCGGCTAGGAGCGGGTCTGCCCGACAAACCCCCCGCCCCTCGTCCGCTCCGCGAGAACTCTTTACTTTTTTGTTTGGAAAATCGGGGCGATTTCTTTATTTATTTCTGGGTCTCCCCGGAGGAGGGCAGGGGAGAGGAGGGCGAGCGGCGCGGGCCGGGCCGGGCCGGGGGAGGGGAGCAGAGGGAGGGGAGGGGACTGGGTGTAGCCTGAAATTCTCCGTCCTCGTGTTCCAGGGCTGGCGCGCATAGTCTCCAGGCGATAGCGCCGCCGCTCCCCCGCCACCCTGTCGTTGGCCTTGGGGGTCGGGTGAGTGGGGTCATGACGCGCCGTGGGGGCTGCCCGGGGCCCCGGCCGCGCTGAGAAGGGACGCGCCCGCGCCGCGAGGAGACCCTCCGGCCGGGAGGCGGCGGCGGGTGGGGAGGGCGCAGGGAGTAGGGCGGGGTGGGGGCGGCGC